CCATACCACAGGTTGACCCAAGCCTTGTGAATGAAACTGGGTACACAGAACACTTGGAGCTGTTAATAGCTGTGCTATCACAAAGTCATAAGTCATTGTTACTCAGGGTTTGAATGTGCTAGTGTTCAGACAACACGCTCTCTCCCAGAAACTGAACAAACACAAATGTGCCTGAGCGAGAGTCTGCAATAGGGATTAACTAGCTACCCTACTAGACAGGTATCCTTGAATATGTGTAGCCAGCTATTATATATATATATATACATATATATATATATATATATATATATATATATATATATATACAGAGAGAGAGAGAGAGAGAAGGAGAGAGAGAGAAAGAGAGAGAGAGAGATGATAAAAATATAGTTTTGAAGTATGCTATATTTATGGGCAAAAGTACTCAGTATAAGAGACAGAGCATATGTAAATATAAAAATGAACACATTGGTCACCACCAATATTGCTGTTGTTCCCAGGTTCATCCAGATGAGGGGTGGTAGTACCTGTTAGGGTCCCAGCCATGGGCAAATAGTGAATCCCTGAAACAAAGACAAAAAACTATGAAATTATAAAAATAGATTTTTATAGTAAAAGTACCAGCAATACTTTTTTACATAAAAAAATTATAAAGGATACATATTTATTGTTAAATTACCAACAGCATATTTTATTGCAAAATGACCAAAAAATACATTTTATCTGCAGTTGAAAGCATACAATAACATTCAAAATATATTTAGTTGAAGCCATAAAATTGTGTTCAAATATTTAGATTTTGGCATTAAATACCCCATAGAAGTTGATCTACTGCTAAACAAAATATTTAGATTTTGGCATTAAATACCCCATAGAAGTTGATATGCTGCTAAACAAAATATTTAGATTTTGGCATTAAATACCCCATAGAAGTTGATATGCTGCTAAACAAAATATTTAGATTTTGGCATTAAATACCCCATAGAAGTTGATCTACTACTAAACAAAATATTTAGATTTTGGCATTAAATACTCCATAGAAGTTGATCTGCTGCTAAACAAAATATTTAGATTTTGGCATTAAATACCCCATAGAAGTTGATCTGCTGCTAAACAAAATATTTAGATTTTGGCATTAAATACCCCATAGAAATTGATATGCTGCTAAACAAAATATTAGGATTTTAGCATTAAATACCCCATAGAAGTTGCTCTACTGCTAAACAAAATATTTAGATTTTGGCATTAAATACCCCATAGAAGTTGATCTACTGCTAAACAAAATATTAGGATTTTGGCATTAAATACCCCATAGAAGTTGATCTGCTGCTAAACAAAATATTAGGATTTTGGCATTAAATACCCCATAGAAGTTGATATGCTGCTAAACAAAATATTTAGATTTTGGCATTAAATACCCCATAGAAGTTGATCTGCTGCTAAACAAAATATTAGGATTTTGGCATTAAATACCCCATAGAAGTTGATCTACTGCTAAACAAAATATTTAGATTTTGGCATTAAATAACCCATAGAAGTTGATCTGCTGCTAAACAAAATATATAGATTTTGGCATTAAATACCCCATAGAAGTTGATATGCTGCTAAACAAAATATTTAGATTTTGGCATTAAATACCCCATAGAATTTGATCTGCTGCTAAACAAAATATTTAGATTTTGGCATTAAATACCTATAGAAGTTGATCTGCTGCTAAACAAAATATTTAGATTTTGGCATTAAATAATTTATAGAAGTTGATCTGCTGCTAAACAAAATATTTAGATTTTGGCATTAAATACCCATAGAAGTTGATCTACTGCTAAACAAAATATTAGGATTTTGGCATTAAATATTTATAGAAGTTGATATGCTGCTAAACAAAATATTTAGATTTTGGCATTAAATACCCCATAGAATTTGATCTGCTGCTAAACAAAATATTTAGATTTTGGCATTAAATACCCCATAGAAGTTGATCTGCTGCTAAACAAAATATTTAGATTTTGGCATTAAATACCCCATAGAAGTTGATCTGCTGCTAAACAAAATATTTAGATTTTGGCATTAAATACCCCATAGAAGTTGATCTACTGCTAAACAAAATATTAGGATTTTGGCATTAAATACCCCATAGAAGTTGATATGCTGCTAAACAAAATCAACCAACCATAAATAGAAAACATTTTAAATAATATTATAATGGCTCAAAAAATGAAATTGATTTTTCTGTCAAGTCTTATAAAATATTTTGGTAGCAGTTCTGAGATAGTAGTGCACACATTACAACAAATTGTATCACCAAAAATGACCATAGGCAGATTAGTTTATAGCTAGGAGTGAGCAACATTCCAGCAGCTACATTCATTATTTGAAAATGATTTTCTTTATAAGAATTATTTTCTCTCTACATCATGATATAATCTTTGTGTAATTTGTTTTTGAATCTAATCATATCCACAGAGAAACAAAAATTGTTCAATCAAAATCTGTGACTATTATGTTGAACATCAGCTGTTGTTTTGTTTATATTAGTCAATAAGAAAACAGTTTATTCATTTGACTTCAGTTGATAACCTTTCTCTCTCACTTAGTCTCAAGATTTTCCTGCTTTCTTGTGCTTTTTATTTGCCAGAATTTAATGATCTTGATCTGAGATATTTATATATGTTGCAGGCTTGAATCAACCCCCAACAAAAAAGAGGCAAAAATGGGTTTTAAGTGTAAAAATAACCTTTCTTGCCTCTTTCTTAACATTAACGGCTTTTTTACTCATGTTCTTCTTTAATTACAATAAATGCCAACTTAGGAAAAAAGATGATTTGTTATTGAACCATACATGAAACATACAATCAAATCTAGTTTCAAGGAAATGCTTTTCATATATATATATATATATATATATATATATATATATATTATATGGGAAAAAATCCAAAATTACCTCATGTGGGTATAGTCTATTTTAGACCAGCACAAACATATGCCAGTCCTCCTCATCTCTACAACCACTGGCTATACCTACATGAGGTAATTTTGGAATTTTTGCTGTATAAAATATATGCTCTGTTATAATAAATACAGTGAGCTCTCTGTGGATCAGTTTTAATATCTGATATTACTAGGATCCACCTGGATTATAAACCAATGGATCTATTACCTGTACGAGGTATTTACTCTGTCTCCCCACTAAGATGAGTTGTGACACAATGTCTTTTTTAAGGTGGGGGACCTGAGCGTATACACCCAGGTGAGGAACAAAAATTACCAGCAGCCCCTGCAACCATCAGTTGCACTGGTCTCACTGCGAGAACCAATCCCTCTCTCTGGTGCAATGAGAGGATGCGGTCTCAGGCAGCTGTTCCTCAGGGTTGTGCACCTCTCAGTATAATTCTCCTCAGTTGTGACTCTGTCCTTTGATGGAGTCACCCCTGAGTGCACTCTGCCAAAAGACAGAGATGCAGCTAAGAGATGATAAATAGATGTGTCACAAACCCCTCTCTTGAGGGCTTTACACACCACCTGTACTATATATATGTGTGTGTGTGTGTGTGTACATATATATATATATATATGTATGCATATATATATATATTTATATGAAAGACGAAAGTTGGCAAAGCAACAGTAATAAGGCAAAAAATTCCCAAAATAGGAATGCCATTAACACACCAGAGGGATACAGAGAAGTGATTGTAGGGTTCTGACCTAAAGACAAGACAGAACAAAAATATAAAATATAACAGGTCATATTTGCTAAGAAGAAATCCCAGCATGCATCTGTACTGTTTCTCTATAAATTTTGGGAGAGGAATTTGAACTAACAAGAAAACATAGTATAATAATACACAAGTATGCATATTTAATATTTTAGAATTTGACTCCCATTATAATAAGCTTTTATAATTTTGAAATCAGATATGTAGGTGATGTCATGATTACTCTCACAGAAAATGGAATTAGTGAGCCAAGCTTAAATTCTGGCCTATTCTGTTACATTGACTTTATACTAATACCCTTGGGAAAGCAATACATCTACCTCTTCTAACTCCCACCAGTTATGGGCTGTTTAGACTGGAATTATTGTTGTTTTAGTTGTTTACACTGGGCTAGAATTAAGTGTTTTTCATTCTCCTAGACTGGTCATTAACCAGTTTAGAAGAATGAAAAACTCTTAATTCCATCCATGGAGAAGACAAGAGAAACACTTCTGATGTCTCTCCCAATAATCTATGGTAATTCACAAATAATATAAAGAAAGAAATCTGTTGAGAGACATGATTGCCCAGATCCTAAAGGGACCTAAAAAAACTCTCTGGCCCTTTTGATAAGATGACATGTATTGATATAAACCTTTATGTTTTTATTTGCTAGAATAAATAGGAAACATTCCTACTTCACTTCTGGAGTGTGCATGAGCAAATGTTTGCAGAGTTTGAGAAATCAGTAAAGAATTTAAAAGACAGAAAGCAAAATAGACATGAGTCAGTAGAATGAGAGCTCTTGAAATAATACATTGTAAAGATCGCACCAATCACACAAGACATCACTTAACAAACATCAAATTACGTCAAAAAAGCAACCAATCAATAAAAATCATAAATATATCTTTCCACAATATTTTTTCATTCTTAGCAAAAAGCTATCATCTGTATAGATGTTATAAATATTGATATGACTAAAATTGAGATGCTTGTAAAACATAGAGAAATTTTTTAATGGATTAGCATTGATTAGTCACTTCTCTACATTTATCAAAATTGAAAAATATTGATTTTTTTAATCACTTTAGAAGTGGGGGTCCTATTCTTAATGTAAATACAGTGTCAAATTGATCCCTAACTTCTTAAAGAATTATCTGTTCTTTGTTTTTTTTATTTACAAATGTCAAGTTTGAAACTGTTTATATCATTAATAACCGCATGCTATTATAAATTTGGAAAAAGGGCCAACATCAGTAGAGCATTTAAAAAATCTTTTAAAATATTTAAAATAGAGCATTCTTATATATATAAGGTTTACAGCTATATCACTCTGAAACATGAGTTCTTGTTTGATCCCCTAAGTTAAGCAATTTTGAACCTGGTCAGTACCTAGATGGGTGACTGCTTGGGAATACCAAGTGCTGTAAGCTTGGGGGTGGTGTACTGGATAATGGCTTGGAATAAAAACTTGGACATCTGAGTTCAAATTCTAGTTGGGTTCATTAGATTCACTTACATGTAAATACTCTTCTCCACCCAGGTATGGGTTAAATAGTAAAATGTGAATTAAAAACTTATTATTTACAATAAAAGTAATTCTTACAATTCAAAAATATATTTTGGCTTTAACTAACCTTAAATAGGTTGATAAGACATAAAAATACAATCAGTCAATTATATATATAAGAAAAGGTATATACAATTAATATATATATATATATATATATATATATATATATATATATATATATATATATATATATATATATCTCAAAAAACTAGTTGTTTGGTATTTTAAACAAGAGAAAATTATTATACATGGTTAAAAAAAGTGAGACATGATTTTATTATGACAAAAAGAAAAATGCATTTGAAGATTAAATTTTGCTCTTGTCAAAATTTCCTCCTTTAACCTTGATTACTGGAGCACAAATTTTTGGCAATTATTGCAAAAGTTTCTCAAAGAATAAGTTTGATAATTGATCCCATTTTTTTTTCAACAACTTAAGAACTCTTTTTCATTTTTTGGATGAAAAAGGTTTCACTCTTCTGTCAAGTTCATCTTGGGGTGGCTTCAAACTTTTGAACTGTAGTGTGTGTATGTATGTATACATACATACGTACATACATACATATATATAAATATATATATATATATATATATATATATATATATATACGCACATATTATTTCCATGTTCCTTTAGATTTTAACGAGGATGTAAAGGTGGTATAATGTAAAGCAGTTCAGCTTTTTATATTTACTTATGCACAAGTACTCTTGCGAAAGGTATGAATCTCCTCCAGCCATGGGTTAAATAGTGGGACTTGTATCTGGAAAAATTATTGTTGTCTCCAAAAATTGTTAATATGATATCAAAAAACAAAAAAAAGAAAAGTGTCATTCTTACAATCCAAAAATGTATTTTGGCTTTAGATAATTCACAAGGGGTTGATAAGCTTTCAAAAATCAATCAATCAGTTAGATCTTGAGAGATGTGCTCTCCTACATAAGGGTAACTGAACCTGGATTTACCATGAAGCCCATCATAACTGAACAATCTAAAAGCACACTGGGCTTTATAGTGGCCCCACTTATATAAGGGGGACAGCAGCCTCTAACTGTATCTAATCGTACATTTTCTTTATTAAAGACTTCTACACATATATATTTCCTTAAAGACTCTAAAAACAAAATTAGATTTTAAAAATCTAAAACATAAAATTCAATCAGAATTTTTTTCAGAATTTTTAAATGTAAAAACATTCATTAGTATTTGTCAGGGTAAATGAAAGTCAAGGTAAACTATGGAGGACACTAAGTGATGTAATTTAATGTAATTTAATGTCTAATAAACAAAAGTGAATAAATGTTGTTATTATTACTTAGCATCTTCCATAACTTACCTTGACTTTCAGTTAACCTGAAGAATGAGCATTGTTAAATTAAAAAATTCTGAAAATCTAACAACATTTTTACTTCTTTTTATAAATACTTATTGCAAAGTAAAATCCTTACATTTGCCTTGATGAAGCCCATCAGAGGACGAAACGTGTTGGCTTTCCTTTTGTCTTTATTCATATTGTATTTTTAAAGATATAGTTTTAGTTATATCTGAATGTTTATATCTATATCTATCTATCTATCTATATATATATCTATATCTATATCTATATATATATATATATATATATATATATATATATATATATATATATGGGCTCATGGCTGAGTGGTTAGAACATTCGCTTTCTGACCATGAGACCCGTGTTTGACTCTCACCACAGTTGATTTGTCAGGAAGGAGACTTCTTGACATTATTGGTCTGGGGGGATGATACCAGCATGCAGCACCTTCGGAAAATACCTGAAAACCATACCACAGGTTGACCCAAGCCTTGTGAGTGAAATTGGGTAGACGGAACACAAGTCATCGTGACTGAGGGTTTGAGTGTGCTAGCGTTCAGATTGTTGCTCATGCTAGATAACACACTATCTCCCAGAAACTGTAACTAAGGTCTGCTTAGCATAGTTGCAATATAAACCACAGTTAGGCTCTGTGGGTATTGAACAAACACAAATGTGCCTGAGTGAGAGTCTGCAATAGGGATTCACTAACTGCCCTAGTAGATTGATATCCTCAAATACAAGTGGCCAGCTATTATATATATATATATATATATATGTAAAGAAGCAATGAATTTTTTATTTATTAATCTGACAGATTTTATCACTTAAATGCTATTTTTAGTGGATTCTCATATTTGAGTAGACTCTATTAAATGGTATATTTTCATCTACTGACCTGAATATTCGTTAAATCTTATAAAAGACAAATATGTGCCCTCCAACAGGATTCGAATCAGCATCGCCTTTACCAGAAGAATGTCCTTTGTGGCAGAATTGATATAAGCATGTCAGATCTTACAATAGTTTGTCCTGCCAAAGATAACACATTCAGATTTAATATACATTAAATAGAACACCCTGGAAATTAAGAATTTGGTGTGCTTCTCCTGATGCCAAATAGGTCATTTGATGTAGAAAATTGCCAAGATTGGGTGTTACATACTGACTTGTTTGACCAATAAATTTTCTTTTGATGTTGCCACAATATTTTATTATAGTTCATTTTTTAGCCTTTGTACAATCAGTAATGTTGTAGGCACAGTATGAAAAACAAAGAATTTACCTGCCGAAACAAACCCTGGAATATTAATGATATTTCTTAGTATTGGACATTACAATATGGACCCCTGCATTTTTTTTCTTTTTTAAAAGGGCTGTTTGAAAGCTCCTTATAAAACAAGTTTAAGACTTTCTGTTCAACATACATGTCCATTATGCCTATAATTCTGATCACTGGAACTCTCTCTCTCTCTCACACACATGCATATATATATATATATATATATATATATATATATATATATATATATATATATATATATATATATTAATATTTTCTGTTTATAAGTTATTTTTATTGTTGCATTGTATTTAAGTAAAAGCTCTGTTTTAAGTAAACAGTAATAATTACATTTACCGGCATGGATGTTCAAGAAATTTTGTAGAAAATATGCACTCTCTGACAGGAATCGAACCTGAATTCCTATATGAAAACCATGATTTGATCTGATGCACTACACTATTCAGCTACAGAGAAGTGTCTTGGTTAGCAAAAGTCTGAATTACTGTTTACAAACACGCAATCTTCGACAATTTTCTTTGATTGTTCATTTCTGCCCACAAAGGGTATCTTAATGTAAACAATGGCAACATATTATGAATTGGATTAAATCAGACAATTATTTAATATATTTTCTGTTTATACATTATTTTTATAGATACAATTTATTTAAGTAAATGCTCTGTTGTTAATTAATTTCTAGAACATTCATGTTGGTAAATGTAACATATTAAATAATTGTTGGACCTAATACATTTCATTATATATATATATATATATATATATATATATATATATATATATATATATAATATTAGTGGTATATATATATATATATATATATATATATATATATATATATAAATATAAATATAAATTTCCAAAAGGATAGAATCCAGGTAGAGCTCAATGTCCAGGACAGAACAAGAATATAATATAAAAGGCTCAAATACTAATATTCCATGGTTATAATTTATTACATTGGAATCGTAATCACAATCCAATTCATCAGACCTATAAATTCAAAAAGAATCATCATCATCATCATCATCATATTGAGAATTCTTCTCCTGACTCCAGCCATCTCTGTCAGACATTATTATTGGCAGGTCCTCCAGATGGCATTCAGAGTCATCTACAAGTTGGTCAATGTAGGTCTTCCAACTGACCTTTTGCCATACAATGGGTTCCATAGGAGGGTGTCACTCACAAATTCTGACTTACTTCTCCAGGAGTGACCAGCTAACCGAAGCCTCCTCTCTCTTAGCGAAACTGAGATAGGAGGAAGGTGTCCATACAGGCGTTTCTTTGTTGGGGGTTTCTTACTGCTGATGTCCAACGCTATAGCATCTTTGTGTATGTTCTGTCATGATGTTTCTTGCTGTTTCGTCAGTGTCCATGTTGTTGAGCCATAAAGCAAGACAGATTCTTCTGTGGCCTTCAAGAATTCCCTCTTAAGATTGTCAGAGAGGTATGACTTTCAGATGGTACTCAGATCATCTAGGACACCCCAGGCCTTGCCCTTGTGGATTTTGATGTCTCTCTCTGTTGAGGTAAACAAGTTCCGGGACAGATTTGATGTTATTGCTGTTTTTCAACTTAATTTCTCCTTCTTGGTTGTAGCTGATAAATTCTGTTTTGCCAGCATTAATTTAGAGACCAATCTTGCTGGCCGCTTCTTCGATGAGATGGAGAAGTTTGATAGCCTTATCAATCGTATCTGACACCAAGGCAAGGTCATCTGTGTAATCTACGTCTGTTATTGAGATTGCTGGGTAACATGAACTTCTTGCTCTTTCAAGGGTGAACCCCAGATCTGTTTTCAGATCAGCAGATGTTCGCAGGGTGTAATCTAGGCACAGAATGAAAAGGAAATATATATATATATATATATAGTTCTATGGATATGAGTTTGTGACCCTGGGTTTCATGCTTTGGTGATCATCAGACAAAGCCATGGAACTGACACCGAAACAGAATTAAAATTGCGTATGTATGTATGCCTGAGTGCATGGATGTGTATCCTTGCCTGGCCTCAGATTGTTTATATGGGTGTGGTTGTGTGAACTAAGATGCGTACACCTGCATGTATGTGTGTCTATGTGTATGAGAGTGTCATCCTGAACAAACACAAAAATTCTACCTCCTACCACCAAACATAGTCAAACAAGCAGTTTAAAATCCAATTTCTTTGTCTGATGATGGCAAAAGCGTGAAACCCAGGGTTACATACAACTGA